AGCTCAATCTCATTTCACAAGTAAGGAAACCAAGGCCCCAAGAGGCTGAATGGTGATTTTCCTTAAGCACATCTAAGTATGTCATGACCCTACTCAGTGAACTCCAGTGCTTTGAGAACAAACTATGAATTCCTCTGTTTGGCTTTTAAATCTATTATCTGACCCCAACTGGTCCTTCCAGCATTATACAGTGCTTCCCTTCTTGTCTCCTGTGGTCCATCCAAACTGTCCTTTTCTCTGTTCCTCATACATAGCACTCCTCCATGCCTTTGCAGTGGTGACCATCTCCTATGCCTGGAATGCACTCTCTCCTCACCTCTGCCTTATAAAATCTTATGCAAAAAGTTACTAAACAGTATGTGGCCTTGGATCCAGCTGTACCAGTACTAGGCTCATACCCTCCAAGATCAAAGAAACACCAAAAAGTCCTGTATGTACAAAAATATTTATAGCTGCTTTTTTTGTGGTGGCCAAAAAATTGGAAACTCAGTTCCTCTGACTCCTGTTCCACTGATGCTACCTGCCTTTCCTCTTAGGTGGAGGTCTGAAGCAGGTCTTCTGTGTGTTTGCTTCTCTTCTCTAGCTACTTTCCACATCCTGCCTTTGCTTAAGCCATGCAAAGGGCAACTAGACCAGCAGGGGAACAAAGTTGGGATGGTCTTGATGGTACTTGAGCGGGGCGGCTCCTCATCTCACTCGCTGTCTTGTTACCAAGGCTCTGAGTTTTGATTGGGCTGTTCTTGCCTTCTAGGATGGTGCATTTCATCTTTGTTGTTTAGGCTTAATTGATACCTTTGTTTATACCCATAATGATTTTCCCCAAGTTCTCACTTTCCATCCCCGGTGAACCCTTCCTTGGAACAGAGGAGAACGATTACACCAACTGACACAGATTTTGTCCGACGGCACAAGTAGGTAACATTCATGCACCTGTTGTCCCATTTTTTTAGGCATGGGTTTCTCAAGATCGGTCTCCAGCTTGAAAGGTTGATCAAAATTTGACAGCTTTTCAGGGTCTTCATTTATTTTATTGTAGCCCTCTGTATTGATCTTTTTTGCTCTGCATCAGTTCATGCATGTCTTCAGGAATGCCAAATTCATTATAGTCAGCTGAGAAGGATCAGAAGGAGAATGTCAGCCCTAGGGCTCCTGACTCCTTTTTGCCTGGGGATGATCACCAGTGACCTTTCCAGATTGCTCTTTTGATCTCTCAGCCCTGCTGGAGATTCAAACAAAGCAGCTCAGTGGCCAGGACCCAGCAGAAGGCAGACTAGACAGTGATACTCACGTAGGCGATTCAGTTTATAAAGCCAGGCCTTCGTCTCTTTGGGAGTGTACGTTCTGATCTTGCAGCTTCAGTCCCCATTAGGAGTAGACTAGCTCGTGATGTTCCATGAAGGTGAAGGATTACTTCACGTTCCCATTTGACATTTTCTCTTGAAACTGTTCAAACAGTGGGTGAGAAGAAAAGGCTTTGCCAACATCCGCAGAGAAGAGAATACGCATTTGGTGGAGATGAGAATGCTACTGCTCATCGAATCCTGAAATAGTGTTTTCAACATTTTATTCTTCCATTCAGAACACCTTGGGTGACTCGCTATCCTTTACTGGATAGAGACCCAACTTCCTGGCCTGATGATGCAGATCCTTTCCTTCCTGGTCCTTGGCTCTGTTTCTGACTTCCTCTCTTGCCAGTCCCCAGAATCCATCCTTCTCCCTGCTCCTGAATATGATATGGACCTGGCTTCTTCACCATCCAGGGGTCCTTCCCCTTGAGACAGTTTCCGCTGGTGAGACCGTGCTGAGTAGTGTTTTCAGGTGGAGCCCAGTAACAGACCCTGCCTGTGTGGCCTTTTTGCTAACTTTCAGACCTCCTTGGCGCTACAAACTGAGGAGAGTGGGCCAGATACTGTATTTTGACAAAGACATCAATAAACCGGGGTGAGCATGAATGAGGTTGACCTAGTGATGAAGCAAAGGTTTGAAAATCATGGCTCGGTAGCTTGGTGGCATGACAGATGAATACTGGGCATGGGATTAGGAAGGCCTGGGTTCAAATCGTGCCCCCAACACTGACTAGCTGGGTGACTTTGGGCAAGTCACTTAACTAACTTCTGGGAGCCTCAGTTTCCTCATTTGTAAAATAAGGATAATAGCGCCTAACTAAAGATTAATAGGATGTGCAGATATATGTAAAGTACTTGGCAAATCTTAAAGCACTACATAAATGTTGGTGATTATTGTGTTAGAAGCAGCTGGAAATTGTTAACTTGGATAAGAGAACACCTTGGGGGACTGGGGGTGGAGAGTGGGTCAGGGAGAACCTCGCAGCTGTCTTCAGCCCTCTCAAGGAGATTCTTACGTGGAAGAGGGATTGGGCTTGTTCTTTTAATCTTGCCCCCTTGAGAAGAACCAGAAGCTGTGGGTTGAAGTTGCTGGGAGCCCAACGTGGGCTTCATACACGAAACACTTTGTTGTAACAGAGCTCGTCCTGAGTGAACCAAAATACCATTTGAAGTAGTGAGCTCACTGCCACCGGTATTGGTCAAACACGGTCTGGCCTTTCAGGGCTGCTGTATAGAAATAGTGAAAGCACTGTTTCATTTTCCCCCTTCATTGGGGAAAGTGATGGCCTAGATTCGAGGCACACCAAGATCTGAGCTTTGCCTGTGACTCTGGAAAGCCTTTGTAAGTTATGGGGCTAGACCTCTCTCAGTCATCTTAAACAAGGTGTGGGCTTCAGAGGAAAATATTGCAGGCAGGATGAATGACCCCAGTGTGAGTTAATTTTAACACTGAAAAACAAACCAGGCAGGCGTACGTGTGAGTTGCCAAAGGGGTGGGGAGCCCCTAATCCCTTAGGCTAGATTTAAAATACCTTTATGAATAGAATGCTTTTGGTGGAGCTCTGCCCTTGGTAGGTGTGGGCTGACTGAGAAGGAAACTTGGGGGAGGGGTGGGGGTGGGGCCTGCCTGTCCCTGTCTTGGTGACTCGGCTTATTAAACTTTCCAGAGAGAGTTGGTTTTTGCAATTTGCCTTTCTTTCCTCCAGAAGTCATAGGGAGCAGTCAGATTCTGTGAATCCTGGTGAATCCCGTTTAGAAGGGCCATTGGGCACCTGAACTCCACAGGGATACCCCAGATCTCTTTCCAGGAAGCTAGTTTGGGTTAGCAGGGCCAACTTCGATAGTCAGTCAGTATTCAAAAAGCCAGGCCAGTAGTCGGATTAGGGTGCAACCGTAGACCTTGTTGATTATGGACCAAGCACTCTTTATATCGGGCAGGATGAGTATTTTGGGCAGAGGTCCAAGCAGGTGTCTGGGCCTAAGGGAAGCAGGCTCCAAGAGGCTCCTTGGAGCAGACAGCCTGGGCAGAGAGAGACGGAAGGGAACGAAAGGGAAGAGGGGTTTGGGGTGGGACCTGAGGCAGGGTTGCTGGTGAAACAGGTATTTTTGTGGTCACCTGACCAGGTTAGGCCTAGAGACATGCGGAAGGTGAGACAGAGATTGGCGGACCTGAGGCAACAGATTTTCTCCAAGAAGCCCAGTTGTGCCAGCAGAGGCTTACTCTCAGGTGCCTTTTAGAGGAACCAGGGTTCTAAGGGTCAGCCCTGCCTTAAGGGGAGGGGAGCTGGGGATCTCTGGGGCCTGGTTTTAAAGGGCCTGGGCTTAGAGGAGGGGAGTCTGACCTTGCTAAGGCACAGCTTCTTCCTTAGTACAGAATTCCTGAATCTAATCTAGGAGGTTGGGGGGAACTCCAGGGGGGCTTGGTTGGGCACAGCATCCCTCAGATTATCGTTGGTCAGTTTGCCTCCCTCCCTGCTCATGCCAGGGTCTTGCTGGAGGAGGAAGGCATGACCTGAAGGCATCTGAGAACAGGGGTGGTGTTCGAGGCAGGAGCAGCATCTTTGAAGCACCAGGCCCTAGGCCTTGGCAAGTACAATGTTTGGCCAGGCTTTCCCATCCCACTACCTGGTGTTTTCAGTGGGCCTCTGTGTCTCTAAAGACAAAACTATCCGAAGGACCACGTTATTGTTGTGGAATAGTCAAAAGTGAGCATGAGCATGAACTGTCAGTGAAAATGAAATCAGAGCCTTGGGGGCAGGGGCTGGTTTTTCAGATATCCACGTCATCTCCCTCTATTTAAATAGACTTTTCTCAAGGGCCTGGTAAGTAATACTCTCTTAGTCCAAATATAGTCTGCACCTTCCCCCCCAGTCTAGCTCGTACAACACCTGAGTTCAGGTAAGAGAATGACAGGAAAGAGTGGTAAGGTTGAAGAGAGCAGGGATGGTAGAGAAAAATGAACTGACATTTTTATTTAAATTCAGTGAAATACGACAATTTTTGGTGGTATTTTTAAATGTAATTATTTTTCAGGCATACATATGTAATTGTTTTTTTTTTTTTTTTTCAAAAAGATATCATCTATTTGAAGGCAGCCTATCTGGGGACGTTATATAATATACATTATATATGAGGCAGAGCGCGGGATGCCATAGTCACTTTCTTTTTCTGTCTCGGCTCTGCCCTAGCAGATGGCATCTCAGTGTGCTGTGGCCAGCAATGTGATGAAAATAATAACAGCAAGTGTTGACATCGATCTTTTTTTGAGATTTGCAAAGCTTTTTACAAATAATTAACTCATTCAATCCTGGCAACAAGCCTGGGAGCTAGGGGCTCTTATTATCCCTATCTTACAGATGTGAAAACTGAGACAGGCAGAGGTGAAGTGACTTATCTAGGATCACACAGCTTGTTAGTGTCTAGGGTGGGATTTGAACTCAAGTCTTCCTGACTCCAGACCCAGTGCTCTATCCACTATACCATCTAGCTGCTTCCAAATGCTATTTAAAATGGCCAGTAGCATGAATGAAACAAGGCAACTTATGTATGGCTATGCCGACAATGTGACTTTTCTCCTCCTTGGGTAAAGTGTGTGGAGGGTCAACCCTTGAGGAGCTGGAGAAGAAGAGACTAAGTTTTTTCTCTTTGTTTCAGGTCTAAGCGATGAGCTATCCAGGCTATCCCCCCCCTGCAGGGGGCTACCCACCAGCTGCCCCAGGTAAGGAGTGGGGGCTCCCCATGTTCTTCAGTAGCAATTCAGTATCCTCTCCCCTGTCCACCACACACACAGTGAGTGAATACTGAGGTGCCACAGACAGGGAAGTGATGTATAGAAAGACAAAGCTGGGGGGCAGGGAGGTTTTTGAACAACAGCCACAAAATAGGGGGAACCAGACCAAAGGTGTTTAGAGATGTTCTTCACTCACTCAGAGGCAGAGGAATGGAACAAAAGCCCTGAGAAGGAGAGTATTATTCCCTCCTTGTCTATCCCTGGGTCCCCTGGACAGAAGCAGCACAAGTCTGGCCTTGCTGTTTGCTGGATGACCGCACCACCCCAGAGATGAGAAGGAGGCTTTCCTATGGAAAGTGGGACGTGATGTTTTAGTACTAGTGCCCCTGCAGATTCGTTCCCCCAGAGGCTTTGTCTAGAAAGGAGCGAATGAGCAAGCATCTATTAATGTTCACCATGTGGTAGGAACAAGGCTCTGCTTCCAGAATTTTCACACTCTCCTTGAGAAAGACTAATGCAAACACAGGTGGGTAAGGGGCAGATCTGATATAACAGTTTGCAGAGGTTTGGCTCATCCCGAAACGTTGATTGCAGGATACCTGATTTCTTGTTTTCCATGCAAGGCAAAAAATACTCTTTTGCCCTGTTCAGATTGCCAGGATCTTAGTATTTTTCCTCTACTGTTTTTGACCTGGAATAGAACTCAGTCATCAGTCAGAAAGGAAACACCATGAAAAGGAAGGAAATAGGGATAATGACCTTGTGCTCATCCCTCTCATGGTATTGGTTTGCTAGGGTAGGTGAGAAAATGAACAGCACAGCACCAGCCGCCTCCATCCCAATGTGGAACTCTAAACATCTTTCTGGCCCCATTTTGAAATCTTGAAATTTCATAATTGAAAGGCACCTTAGACATCATCCATTCCACTTTCCTTATTGTCCTCAGTTGAGGACACAGAAACCCTTGTCTATTTGCTGTAATAATGGCGTGTGACGGGTATTTTTTCTTTTGTGCATAGATCTCCATCTCAGGTGAATCCATTATAGGTGTTAAATCACAAATGACACAGGTTTGTTGCTCAATGGAATAGATGAATCAGTGCTCATTTTAGTGACTCAACTGTGCTGCAACATTGAAATCAGGAAGAGCTGGGCGGTGACATTTTAGGCTGAGAGAAGCAGGGTGGTGAAGGGCCCAAAGGTGAATGACTGGACCAGATCACCTCCGACGTCATCTTCCAACGCTGAGATTTCTTGGCTCCTTGACAGCCAATGGGGTTAGAAATGCCTCTCCTGGAAAGCAGCACAGGCTGCCAGAGGATGGGCTCATAATCACTGAGCTTAACTAAGCCCCATAAAGGCCCTATGAAGATCACAGAAACACAGCCTTGTTAATAGAACTTGGGCTTAAATTAGTAACACCTTTAAAAGCTTCCATTGATGGGTTTGGTTTTTTTAAATCTAACCCAGCTGTCCTGCATTTCCACTTAAGAAGAAAACAGCGTAGTGAGAGTAGATAAAATTTAGGCCCTGGACATTTTCGAGAGAAAGAGTCATGATCTTGTGAGAGGGCTGGTTTGGCAGAAAGAGGGGTGAGGCACTCAGTAAATATTAAATTTCATGTAGCATTGCAAAGAGTAGATTCCAGCAAAGTGTACTTTCTAGCAAATGATACTTTTCTGATTTTCCTCATAAAATTGGAGATACATTCCATTGGAAGGACAAAAAAAATTATCTCCTAGATGTCCTTTTTCAAGTAGAGCAAACCAAAAATTTAAAAAAAATTTATAAAAAATAGCTGTGTGACCCTGGGCAAGTCACTTAACCCCAATTGCCTAAAAATAAAAAAAATTTTTAAGAATCAAGTAGAGCAAACCTTTAAAAATGATTTGCTTTAAAGGGGGAAACAGCAAATTTTCTTTTTTTAAAATTAATTTATTTTGATTTATCAACAATCACTTCCATAAGCTTTTGAGTTTTAAATTTTTCTCCCTGTCTCTCTCCCCAAGATGGCACACAATCTGATATAGGCTATACATATATTAAACATTTTCACACTAGTTATGTTGTAAGGAAGAATTAGAACGAATAGGAGGAACCACAGGAAAAACAAAACAAAACAGAAGAAAGAAATAGCAAATAGTATGCTTCGATCTGCATTCAAAGTCCATAGTTCTTTCTTTGGATGTGGATAGCATTTTCTATCATGAGATCTTTGGAGATGACTTAGATCCTTGTATTGCTGAGAAGGGCTAAGTCTATCAAAGTTAGTCATTGCACAACGTGGCTGTTACTGTGTACAACATTCTTCTGGTTCTGCTCACTTCACTCAGCATCAGTCCATACAAGTCTTTTCAGGTTTTTCTGAAGTTCACCTGCTCATCATTTCTTATAGCACAATAGTATTCCATTACATTCATATACTACAACTTGTTCAGCCATTCCTCAATTGATGGGCATCCTTTCAATTTCCAGTTCTTTGCCACCACAAAAAGAGCTGCTATGAGAATTTTTGTACATGTGGGTCCTTTTTCCCATTTGTATGATCTTTTTGGGATACAGCCCTAGAAGTGCTGTTGCTGGGTCAAGGGGTATGCACAGTTTTATAGCTTTTTGGGCATAGTTTTATATTGCTCTCAAATAGTTGGATCATTTCACAACTCAACCAACAATGTATTAGTGTTCCAATTTTCCCACATCTTCAACATTTTCAAAACTGCCTCAGACTTCAAAAACATCCAAAAGTCTAGATTTGAGCTGTGCAGTGTGGCATAGTGGACTGAGGGTCAGCCTTGGAACCAGGAAGAGCTGGGTTCATCTTCCTTCTGATGCACAATACTTCATCTTGCCCCGAAGGAACCCGATGCCAATCTAGTTCAGTTGAGGGAGGCTCCACACTGTGGATTCCCTACCAGTGAAATCAGAGGTCCACATTCTTCCCCCCAGCTCCCTTCCACATCCTTCCAAATATTTTATTTCTAGACTTGGTGTGGGAAATCATGTGATTTTTGGAAGCTGGACGTTTGGCAGGTGAGCAGCCTCCAGAGTTACAGAAACCCAAGACCAGTAGACTGATTGGGAAATAATGCCTTAGAATGAATGAGCAACTTAAGTTAGGGGCGCTTTTAAGATAATTTGTGTTTGTTTTTAAAGATACCTATATCATAGTATAAATACATAGTGGATTAATTTTTAATTTTAGTTGGTTTCTGTAGCCTGTATGTGACAAGCAAAAGTCACAATGAGCATCTATTAAGCACCTACTGTTCAACAGGACTGAGCAGAAGCAGAGAAATAGTTTTCCTTGTTAGATAGAGCCCCATAACCATAATATAAATGGTTCGTTGGTGGGGGAAATAAGAGTAGAACAGAAAATAGAATGGTGAATTTATGCCCCAAAGCGTTCTTGTGTATAATCAGTCAATCAGCAAAGATTTATCAGGCTGCTGTTATGTGCCAGATACTCTATTTGATGCCAGGGATACAAATAAAAAATAAGATAACTAGACCTTGCTTTCAAAGAAGTTACAATTTATTGGGAAGATGCAGCATGTTCACAGATTATTAAGTATGGAACAGATAGAAATTTTTTTTTGAGAAAATCAAGAAAGGCTTCTTGGACAAAGCAGCTGTGCAAATTTTAAAAATTCCTGTTCTGCTGCTCACACCTGTGAGGCCATGGGCAAGTTGCTCCACCTTGAAGGGTCTTCAGCTTCTTGTCTGTACAGTTCAGGGGTTGGACAGTGCATGGTGCATAATCAGTACTGGAAAATGCATTTTTCATTTGCTTGTAGTCTGTCAGCCTTTCCAGCTCCAATTCCTGTAATCCTATTATTCTAAAAGATTATGGAAGGGAGAGGGATTCGTTCTCAAACGGGAGGATGCCCAGGCTAACAAGGTCCCTAGATGGGCTCCTTGGGTTTCCTCTCCTTGCCTCATAGCTTCAAGACTGAGCCTGATGCAGGCTAGAGTTGCCCATTGATGGCCCTCCTGTTGTATCTGCATTCATCTCTCTTTGACCAGTTTTTAGCCTAGATCCTTGTTTATATGAAAGGAAATTCTTGTCTGTCTCTCTTTTTCTACTTGGGAGAATAATCTTTTTATGTTATGAGTTTTTAAAGCTTTGTTTGGGAAATGTTTCTTTGAGGGCCTGGGTTTCTTGATACTGTACTCCTGCAAAGGGCTGCTTTACCTGGGGGAAGGAGGGCAGGGCTCGTTATTTGAGGGCTTTGCTTCTTGGCCTGTCCTGTTGGTGAGTTTTCAGCTTTGGACATCAGCAGAAGGTTGGGCCTGGCTTGACAGTGTTTGCTGTTCTGTTTCAGGCGGTACTGCCTGGGGGGGCACAGCCTACCCCCCCACCATGCCCCCAATCGGGCTGGACAATGTGGCCAACTACGCTGGGCAGTTCAACCAGGATTATCTTTCAGGAATGGTAAGTCTTGCTCCTTCAGGGTGAAATTCTAGAGGATTGGATTTGTTTTGGCAGAAGAGGGAAATGCTCTTGGGCATTTGGATCCGTGACTTTGACTGTGTGTCATTCAGTCAGCAGATGTTGATCGAACATCTGTTTTCTGGGGTATGTATTTGGACTGTTTGGGGGAAATGTTTGTCATAGCCCAAGAGAACCAAAGCATCTTTGTACTGCATCTCAGTACAAGAAAGAGACCTCAGAACCCATCTTGTCCTTACAGGCCAGGAACCTGAGACCTAGGGATCTTAAGTGACTTATCCAAGGTCACACAGGTAGTATCAGACTATTTGTCCTCTTGGTCTAGGGAAGAAAGAGAAACATCATTTCAGAGAAATGCACAAGTCTTTGGGTTTTTTGTTTTTTTTTTTTTTTTGGGAGGGGGGGGGGGTGGAGTGAGAGACATATAAAAAAAAAAAGGAAAAGATGTTCCTGCCCTGAAGGAACTTACAGTCTTGTTTGGAGAGAGAAAAGAATGAGATAAGAGGTGAGTTTTGTTTTCTAGGAGAAGGGATACCTCTTCATCTGAGAGTGAAAGAAGGAAGAGATTTTGGAGGGAAAGTGTCTGAGTAACATCTGAGATGTAAATGTCAGCTGGAAATATTGATAAAAACAATTAAATGCTAAACTGTAGGATACCAGCTACTCACAGAAGGGAGGCGTCTGTGTGGGATAGAGAAGTCAAGGAAGGCTTCAGGGCTTTGGAAAGTGTGTGTGTGTGTGTGTGTGTGTGTGTGTCTGTCTGTCTGTCTGTCTGTCTGTCTGTCTGTCTTATAAATCTGAGATCCTATCTTTAGCCCAATGAGAAGAGCTCCTATCTGGAGTGGGAGGACAGCTGGGCTTTGCAAAGAACTCCCTGACTTCTCCCTGATTATCAAGTGTGACCTCATGAGAATCAGCCTCAAAAAAGAGGAGAGGTTGTGGGGAGTGCTGTGATAATTATCGCTAGGTCCCACGTTGAGCTTACTCTATTTGGCAGTGGTTTAAGCCTTTATGGGGAGTGGTTTCTTGAGGTGTTTTTTTTTTTTTTAAATCACTCCTATTTAATTGTGACATTTTTATTTTGTTTGTGCTTTTTCAGGCTTCTAACATGCCAGGGACATTTGGAGGAGCCAGCATGCCAAATATATACCCTGGAGCGCCTGGAGGAGGTTTCCCACCCATTACTCCTGGGGGGTTTGGGCAGCCCCCTCCTGCCCAGCAACCAGTGCCCCCTTATGGAATATACCCACCTCCTGGAGGAAACCCACCCTCAGGAATGCCAGGTTACTCAGGATACCCCGGGGGCCCTGTGCCAGGCCAGCCCATGCCCCTTCCTGGGCAGCAGGCTCCAGGGGCCTATCCTGGTCAGCCGCCAATGACCTATCCAGGGCAACACCCAATGCCACCACCTTCCCAGCAGCCAGTGCTACCACCTGGGCAACAACAACCGATGCCATCCTACCCTGGATTCTCAGGCTCAGTCACCCCAGCTGTCCCTCCATCGCAGGTAACATTTGAAGGCAGTAACCATGTCCTCCTCCCCCTCGGTCTCTCCTGCAGGCTTCCTTGACTGTACTTCACAGAACGTGGTTTCCAGACAATTCACCCTTCTGGGTGTCCTTTGCTGAATGTGTTCCATTTTGCCAATTCAGCCTTAAAATGTGATATCAGATGGGAATCAGTGCTGTGCAATGGAAAGAGAGATGGATGTGGAGTCTGGAGACCTGGGTTCAAGTTCCGATTCTGCTGCTTGCCAGCCATGTGACTTCTCCCTGGGCCTGCCCGCAGTGGCAGAAGGAGAGTTTGAACCCAGATCTTCTGACCCCAAAGCACGCTCACGTCCCACTCCCATAACCATTCACTGAGTATAAGGCTCTGCCTTGGGTGTTCCTGGTGACTAGTGTCCAGCCTCGGGAGTTCAGAGGCCTAAGAAGCCTCTTAACCTTTTTCTCCCTCTTCGGTTAGTTTGGAAAACGAGGCACCATCCCAGATGCTCCCAACTTTGATCCCCTAAGGGATGCGGAAGTCTTGCGGAAAGCCATGAAAGGATTTGGTGAGTGTCCTGGGAGGCCCAGGGTGGGTGGACGTTAGATGGAAGGTGGGGACCTTGGCATCTACACTTACCCCTTGTTCCTGACTTTATATTGAGTTCAGCGACCTAAAGGCCACTTTCTGTCTTTTCTGATGATGAAAACATGGGCTGAGGTTGACAAGGGAGGAGAAAGTTTGGATTCGGGTGGCTTTGTGTGATGGAAAGATGGAAGTGACAATGATGAGGTGAAGAAGTACCCGGGCCCTAGTTCATTTACATCTGCACAAATGGCACGCGCCCCCTGACCAGCTCACAGCCTCTTCCTTTCTCTCCTAGGCACTGATGAACAGGCCATCATCGACTGCCTTGGAAGTCGCTCCAACAAGCAGAGGCAACAGATCCTTCTTTCCTTCAAAACAGCATATGGGAAGGCAAGTCTGGAAAAACACAAAGGCCCCAGAGCCTGCAGAAACCCAGCCTTACCCATTACCCAAGACTTGGGCACCTCCCTTCCCAGCTTGTCTTCCTGCTCATCCCTGTTTTTCTTGAGGCCTGGGCACAGGGTGGGGGCCATGGTTATGGGAATCATCCCCATCTCGGACCCTTCATTTAATTCATTTTGCTTACGGCATCCGTGGTCTCCCGGGTAGTAGCACTTGTTTTGAATTGAGTATCTGGTCCCTCTGAAAGAAAATCTTGAGTCCATGATACTATGATGGTGGAATTGAAGGACGTTGGACTAGGAATCTGGAGACATTGCTCTGTTCCCTTGATGTTTTTCTTCAAATGTGACATAGACAGGTGGATAGGTGGAGGGATGGATAGATGGATAGAGAGAGATACCTACATATGTACATACATACATACATGGATGGATGGGTGGGTAGATAGAGATACATACATGCATATATTTTTTCTATTTGGTTTTCTGTCTTCCAAGATTAAGGTCTGTTAACCTCTCTGGGCCTCAGTTTTCTCACCTGTAAGACTGGGCTATTAATATCTGCCTTACTGAACTCATAGTTTTGTGATAACTGAATGCAAAACATGTAAAAGCTTTTGAAAAATAAAACACATAAAAATTCAAGTTATTGTTCCTTTTAATCTCCAATCTCGTGATTCTTTAGAGAAGTAGGAGGCATGAGTCAATGTTTTAGAAGTCAGGGCAGTTGGGAGTTGGGGTGTGTTATAATGGGAGAAGCACTGACGGACCCAAAAGATCTGGGTTCTGACACTTTCTACCTATGTAGCCTTGGGTAAGCCCCTCTATGTCCCGAGGCCTCAGTTTCTTCATCTGTGGGCTCAGCTTCTGAGGGCAGTCCCTTCCAACTCCACATCTGTGATGCTGTTGTAAATACTGTGTTTCTGACTTCTTGTTTGTCTGTCCTTCCTCTCCAACCAGGACCTGATCAAGGATCTCAAATCAGAACTCTCAGGGAATTTTGAGAAGACCATCCTGGCTTTGATGAAGACTCCGGTCCTTTTTGACGTCTATGAGATAAAGGAAGCCATCAAGGTTGGTGGGTGGCTAGCCAGCGAGTGCTGAGTCTGATCCAGTCACAGTGGGGCTCGGACCTTCCCCTGGGAGGTTTGTGGTCCCGGAGCTCCCGTACAGGCTGAGATGGAGAACTGGGAGTTAGGTAGATGGGCCATGAGGAGGAATAGGCCAGGGCCAGGGGAGAGGCTGAAGCAGTCCAAACCAGGAAGCTCTGGAGAGGAGGCTGGTGTCCAGAGCGCAGCCTGTGTCAGGCTAGATTCGAATTATCTGCCTTTCCCTCTGTCACTTGGTCTGGGAGTGAATATGGCCAGCCCCACCCTCCCACTGCTCTTAGAGACATTCCAGTGAGGAGACCCTACTTCATTCTTCCAAGGGGAGAGTCCAGATAACACAGAAGAGAGCCATTCTTCGTTCTTTGTGGTAGCGCCTGACTTTTGGCATAAGTAAACCTAGTCTCTCATCCGCCTGCCATCTGCTTCTTCCCAGAACAGAATTAGACTTTTTAATGAGATTAGCAAACCTTTTTCAGTCATCTGCTATGTGTAAGGCAGCTAGGTTGCATAGCAGATAGTGGTGGGCCTGGAGTCAGGATGACTCCTTTTCCTCAATTCATATCTGGGCTTAGAAACTCTGTGACCCTGGGCAAGTCACTTAACCCTGTTTGCCTCAGTTTCCTCATCTGTAAAATGAGCCGGAGAAGGAAATGGTAAACCACTCCACTATCTTTGCCAAAAAACCCTAATGGGGTTACAGAGAGTAGGACACATGTAAGACACTGTGCAGAGTGCTGGGCACCAGGAAGTTGACATCTCCTTCCCCCACCTCTGCCTCGTACAGCTTCTGGCCTATGGATCGGAGAAAAGTGCTTGCCTAAAACCCTCCTTATATTGCCCACCCTAGAAAAGAGGACTAGGTCATGTCAAGGGGGCCTGTCAACTTTAATGATCACAGGGTTAGAGAATCCTAGAACCTTAGCAGCAACTGTGAGAGAGATCATCTGACCCAGCCCCCCTGCCTCCGGACAGGTGAACGTCAAACCCTTTCAGGAGAGCTGATTGCAAACCTTCCTGAGGATAAAGGGAGGGGGGTGGGGGGGAGTCCACAGCCCACCCTGAGTTTTCATCATGTTCTTCCTTCTGTCTTAGCTCTCTTGTTCATAGGCAGGTCATCAGGTTTTGGAAAGGAAGCTTGGCTTGCTCCGGTTTGGGCAACAGATGTTAATGAGTGTTCGCATGAAAGGAAGCCCTTGAGTTTGTCTTCCAAAAACAATATGGATGTATTCATTGTTGCTTTTTTTTTTTTTTAATGTCCTGGGGAGCCAGGAGTAATTACTGTGACTCAGTGTCTTTCCTGTGCTCTCTTCAAAAAGTGGACCCATGATAAGTAGTTTGTGATTGCTTACTTTTCCCCACCTCTTATATAGGGCGCTGGCACAGATGAAGCGTGCCTCATTGAGATCCTCGCCTCTCGCAGCAATGAGCATATCCGAGAAATCAACAGGGCCTACAAAACAGGTTAGGCTGGCCCAGCGGGTTCTGCCTTGGTCACTTAACAGTGGTTTCATGAATACATACATATCTGGTAATGGGGTTTCCTTTGGTGTATTGACCCCAGTAGCCTTTTATACCCTGATATAATCTTTTTTCCTTTTCATTATTTCCTTCAGGGTTCCCTCCTAATTCTAATCCCATCCATCCATCCATCCCTCCCTCCCTCCCTGCCTGCCATTCCCTGGGATTGCAAGACCCATCCATCACATGTTACATAGCTAGTAGCTAGCACAGTTTCATAACAGCCACCTAGGCCTTTCTGTCCATTGGCAGGTCAGTCCTACTCTTGGACTGAGCAGACTTGCTCAACATCTTTCTTACATTTAGAATTCAAGAAGACTTTGGAGGAAGCCATAAGAAGTGACACATCAGGACATTTCCAGAGACTTCTGATCTCACTTGCTCAGGTAACATTTCAGGACTCATATTTCTGGGTTCTAAGGCAGGATGGGTGTGATGTGGGCACTTAACTTCTCAAGAAATCATGAAATCTTGAACTCTCCTCAGACCCTCTGTGGTGGGGCACACCAAGCTGTAGACGTAACAAATGGAACTTTTCTTCCAGGGAAACCGAGATGAAAGCACAAATGTGGATTTGTCCCTGGCTCAGAGAGATGCCCAGGTTAGTATATAGCCACACTAGTGAGCACCCAGAGTGACTCATGTCCGTCCTTCCTTCCTTCCTTCCTTCCTTCCTTCCTTCCTTCCTTCCTTCCTTCCTTTCTTTCTTTCTTTCTTTCTTCCTTTCTTCCTTTCTTTCTTCCTTTCCTTTCCTTCTTTCTTTTCCTTTTTTTTTTTTGGCTAGGCAGTGGGGTTAAGTGACTTGCCCAGGGTCACACAGCTACCAAGTGTCAGAGGCTGGATTTGAACTCAGGTCCTCCTGACTTCAGGACCGGTGCTCTTTCTACTGCACCACCTAGCTGCCCCATGTCTTTTCTTTTTTAAGTTACCAAGTATTTATCCACTTTGCCTTCCATCTCCTTCCTACCCCATCCTGAGGAAGAAAAAGCAAAAGCAAATGCATGTTGACTCTTCCTTGTTCTTATATTTTGCAAGATATAATTCTGATTTTCCAAGGCAAGGAGTTGGGATGAACTGAATTTTTTTTTTTGCTAGCTTTAGTGATATTTAGGGAAGGCTAGGATAATTTAAAAAAGAAAAAACGCAGTGAAAGTCGGCTTTTCATAATATTGAATAGTTTCATGTACATTCTTCAATAGCTGCTCTACTTTATATGTATAGAAATACTCATTTTATTTGGTGTTTTAAATTCATAATTGTAAGCTCCTTGGCTCCCCCAATCTGGATGTGTTTGAGAGAGGCCTAGTGATCATTTGTTGGAAATATTGTAGAGAAGATCCTTGCGTTTAGAGAGCAGATTGCACTATGCTACATGAAGTTCCTTCTAGCCCTGCCATTCTGTGATTTCTTACTTTCTTCTTCTTTTTGGGGGGGGGAGGGGCGAGGCAGTTGGGGTTAAGTGACTTGCCCAGGGTCACACAGCTAGTAAGTGTCAAGTGTCTGGTCGGGACCAGATTTGAACTCAACTCCTTCTGAAGCCAAGGCCAGTGCTCTATCCACTGCGCCACCTAGCTGTCCCGTGATTTCTTTCTAATCTAACTGAGCTGTGAGTTTGTTACTTGCCCCAGCTCTTGATGAGAACCCAGCACCCTGAACTCCCTGGTCAGTGTTCTCTAAAATTACCCTAGATTGTCTCTTAACGTGGAGCTCTTTGCTTCATTGATGAGGAAGAGTCCGTGGTCTTCGGGCATAGCCTAGGGTCGGCATTTGACCTGATCTCAGAGCCCATCTTCCCCACTTCAGACAGGTTTGCCTACGTAGTATCACTCCAGCCTGATGCACACGTTCCCACTTCCAGCCCTTAATTGTCCAGGAAATCCAGGAAGTACCGGAGAGGATTCTGGGTTAGGGCTTCATGTTCAGTTTTTTAACGACTCTTGTGACCGTGTTCGCCCATTCCCTGACTCCCTGCTTGCCTTGACCTGTCCAGTACCTGACTTCTCATTGGCTTCTCTGTACTTTTTGGGTCTCCAAGCTGACCCTGCTGCATCACTCCCAGCCTCACTTTTTGCCTATTTTCGTAATCCATGATGCTCCCTGCTCCCCACTAGCCCTTTGTTGACACCCTCCAGGCAGCGATGCCCTGAGCGGTGCATTGATTGTTGTCCTCATTCCTTTCATTTCCATCTGTCCCTCAGGGACCCAGATAGCTTACCCATGGAGATTTCATGGCCGACCCCTCTTCTAGAAATAAGGTGAGTTGAATATTTGCGATATAAGAGCCTCACGTTTGCCTTTTTCCCCTTCTGGCCAGGAGTTGTATGCAGCTGGAGAGAATCGCCTGGGGACTGACGAATCCAAGTTCAATTCCATCCTGTGCACAAGGAGCCGAGCTCACCTGACAGCAGGTAATGGAGCCTCCAGCCATCTGGAGACAGATTCTATTTTCTTATTCACAACTGAATTCCCTGATGCATTTGGGGAGAAGGATAAGCCTTTCCAGGGTTGTTTTTCACTCGCTGCTTCAGGAGTTCCTAACAAAAGGTTATGAACTTCTTTGATAGTGTCTGGTGAGGCCACTATACCCCTTCTCAGAATGGTATTTTTCAATGTATAAAATACATAGGATTATAAAGAAAATCAATTATATTGAAATAAAGATAAAATTTTTTACATCCAAGTTCAAAGACACTCCCCCACCTTAAGATCTGTCCTCTTATCCTTTTGGGCATAAGTGAACCCCCCACATTAAAAACCCCTACTCTAGTGAAAGATTATCTGATGATACTTAAAATGGACCATCTTACTCAAGGTAGCGTCATCCCCTTCCACTCAAGACAGTAAGCTCTCACCTCCAAAGGAACGAATCCAGTATATACATATTTGTGCATGATGGTGACCGTCTCTAGGGCGGGGGAAGGGTTTAGGTAGGGAGGGAAGGAGGAAAAAAAAAGAAAAGAAATTTACTTGGTACTTTTATATATTTAAAAGGAATAGCAAGGTGTACATAATAGATTTGCAGTTATATGTGCAGTCATTTGTTTCTATTCTACTATGTTATGGAAATGTTTGTTTTATCCCATAAATTAAAAATAAAATAAATAAAAATTAAAAGCAAAAAAAAAAAACCACATTCAAAGGATCACCTAGGACTAGAAGGAAGATCTTTTGTTGTCTAAAACTTGTGTCTAAAAGTTGTATACATTTCAAATGTCAAAGCTAAAAAAAAAGTTGAGGTTTTCTGGCCTCATACTTTTTGAAAAGTCAAGCAGCTTGCCCAGGGTCAGTGGGGCTAATTAAGGACAAAGACAAGGACAAGACCAGGACCCAGTTCTCCTGACCCCTTCACCCCACACTGGTTCTGTCTTCCGTTGGGAGCCCCTGAAAGTTGTCACAAACATATGTGAGAAGGCACATGTGTGAGCTGGAACCCAGAGACCCCCATCCCTCATCTTCCACCAGTCAGTCCGTGTTTGCTGTGTGCTCCATCCTGAGCTGGGTTCTCTGGGGAGAGAAGACAAGGAAGGTCCCAGCCTCCAGGGTACCGTCTAGTTAGGAGGCAGGGCTAACACCTGAAGCAGCAGAGAAGTACTCACCCTTACATTGTCTCTGGAGCTCAGAGCAGGGAGGCCCTCATGGCCGGAGCGTCTCGGGAAGCCTTTGGTGGAGGAAGCGGTTCTGAGGTCCAGACTTGGTCATTCTCTTCCTCCTCCACTCAGCCACTCGGTTTCTGAGTTATGTCAGTTCCCCTTCCGTGCTCTCTCTTACATCCAGCCTCTTTACACTCTTACAGTCTCCTCTCGTGTTCAACCCTCGTTGCCTCTCACTTTACTGTTGTAATGATTTCCCAACTGGTCCCCAGTCTTCCTCTTCTCCATCACGGCTCTCACACCACTGCCGGAGTGATCTTTACACAATCACAGAAGCTCAGTCAAGAGGGTCCTCAGTGGCCACCAGATTCAACCTATGACTGAGAAAGAATCTCCGCTCCCTGGCAAGTGGTCGTCCAGCTTTTACTGGAAGACCCACGGAAGGGGAACCCTTACATCCCAAAGCAGCACATTCCATCTTGGGAAATGCATAAATTATGGCTTAATTATGAATAAAAGATGGCAACCCTGGGGGCAGCTAGGTGGCACAGTGGATAGAGCTCTGGCCTTGGAGTCAGGAGGACCTGAGTTCAAATCCGGCCTCAGACACTTGACATTTACTAGCTGTGTGACGCTGGGCAAGTCACTTAACCCCATTGTCTATAGACAAAAAAACCCTAAAACTTTCATTGTGTACTATTTTTTCGTTGTTTAGACGTTTCAGTCTATCTGGCTCTTCATGACCCTGTTTGGGGTTTTCTTGGCAAAGATGCTCATTTTACAGATGAGGAAACTGAGGCAAATAGGGTTAAATGACTTTCCCAGTGTCACACAGCAATAAAGTGTCTGAGGACAGATTTGAACTCAAGTCTTCATGACTCCAAGCCTAGTGCTTTATCCACTGTGCTACCTAGCTGCCTCTGTGTACCTACTACACATCAAGTAAAATCCAAATTTTCTAGCCTGGCATTGAAGACCTTCCACAGTCTTAAGTTAACTCTAGCTTACCTTTTTAGCCTAATTTTGCACTATTTCTATTTGCACATTGTATCAGCCACCAAAACCATCAGACTATTAAAGGCAACCAGGTAGCATGGATGGAGCACTGGGCCTGGAGTCAGGAAGACCAGAGTTCAGATCCAGCCTCAGACCCTTACTAGCTGTGTGACCCTGGGCCAGTCACTTAAATTCTGTCTGGTTCAGTTTCCTCAGCTCTAAAATCAGGCTCATAAAAGTATCTACCTCCTAGGGCTGTTTTGAGAATCAAATGAGATATAACTTGTGAAGTTCTTAGCACAGTGCCTGGCACATAGTGGGTGCCTCATAAACGCTTGTTTCCTTCTTTCCTACTCACTTTTACCAATGCTCTCTCTTCCCCTGCCTCCATACATTTGTAAAAGATACTTTCCAGGCTTGAAATGGATTCTCCCCATTCCCCCTGCCCCACACAGACATCTCTCTGCCTGTTGAAGTCTGTTTCTTCAGGGCCCACCTCAGTTGCTCCCTCACCAGAGAAGCCTCTGATCCCTGCTGGAAGTGACCCTTCAACACTTAACCTGCTGGTTGCACTTAGTCACAGTCTGATTTGTATTATAATTGTGTGTGTCCATGTCAAAAAGAAGCTCTGTCTTCTCTGTGAGACCCTTCCTGTTCCCCTCAGCAGTGAGTGCCTTCTCCCCAAGAAAATTCCCTTCTAGATACTTGTAGCTGATGATTCCCCTTGGAGAAGCAAGCTCCCTGAAACAGAAATTGTTTCACTTTTGTCTAGCATCTAGCTCAGTCCCTGGCATGTGATAGGTGCTTAATAATCAGTGCTTCTTAATTGATTGATCCATGGGTTATCATCCCTCCTACTAGAGGATAAGCTTTTTTTTTGTTTGTTTGTTTTTAGGCAATTGGGGTTAAGTGACTTGCCCAGGGTCGCACAGCTAGTAAGTGTCAAGTGTTTGATCTGAAGCCGGATTTGAACTCAGGTCTTCCTGACTTCAGGGCCGGTGCTCTATCCACTGTGCCACCTAGCTGCCCCTAGAGGATAAACTTTTTTGAGGTTAGGGATGTTTTTTTTCCCATCATTGTATCCCAGGCATCCAGCATAATGCCTTGGGAAAGAATAGATATTCACTACATGTTTGTTAAATTTAATTGAATTTAGCTTGGGTTAGATTTGGAAAAGACATGGGAGTAAGGAGCGCCCTCCAGCAGGCAGAACAGCAGGGCCCAAGGTTTGAAAGGTGGAGTAGTTACCAAAGGCAGTTTCTGAGGGCTCAGAACAGAGTGGAGGAAACCCTGGGAACCAGCGTCAGGGTTGGGCAGTTTTCCACTTTGCCAAGCAAAGGCTCATCCTCACGTGTCCTCTCTCTTCCTCTAGTTTTCAATGAGTACCAGCGGATGACAAACCGGGATATTGAGTCGAGCATCTGCCGGGAGATGTCTGGGGACTTGGAACAGGGCATGCTGGCTGTGGGTATGTACCCCCGGGCACGTTGGTTGGCCACATTCAAGGCTAAACTTTGTGACTTTAACGTGATGGGAGAATCTTCAGCCGACACAGACTCTGCCTTTTGGGTTAGGCATCCCCCTTGGGATTCCCCAGGCAGGCAGGAGAGGAGCCTTTCTAAATCAAGAAACATTAGGCCTGGGGGTTGGAAACGGGGGATGGGGCGACTCATGGCAACCTGCACCTTAAAGGGTCAAGGAGTAGGTCACTTTTCCTTCTTGCTGTGTCCAGAGCAGCTGCCGTGCATCCCAAAGTGATAACCAGGGACAAAAGAGGGTGGGGATGGCCATCTCGAGGGTTTCATCACTAAAATTGTTGCCACCCAAGGTAGGGGAGTTCGACTCCTTTCTTTGGCTGGGCATCCGTGTCCTGTCTCACTGTGTCCTTCGCAGCTGAGTCACTGTGTTTGTAGCTTTGTTCTGAGAGATTGCTGTTGTCGTTTGTCCTTCATTTCGAAGAGGATTATGACATCAAGAAAATGATGCCGTGATTTCAAGGGAATGGGATTTAAGTGAGGCCGGGCTCTGAGAAGTCACCAGCCTCACTTTTTCCTCCGGAGCTATGTGGGTCCAGTGGCCAGATACAGATCAGGACGACTGGACGTGGCCCAGCGTTCTGGGACATATGCAGTGCATCTTGACAAGGGGCAGGGCTCACTGGGCTCATCTCCCAGAGGAAATGAAATCACACACATCCTGCCAAGGCTTCTCAAAAGACCTGCCTTAAATTACTGGTCAGCAGAAAGACTATTCCTTGCAATGGCGAGTCCTACTGTACTATGATGAACTGGGTTGATGGACTTTCTCCAAGCACGGCGCCCCTCCCCACCCCATTTCCCTAAAGTCAGCCTCTTGTAGCTGAAGGCTGGCATCTGCTCTTGTCCTCCTCCACACTTACAGTCCTCATTTCACCGTCAATGCGGGGCGCTACAAATTGCCCTTTTCGAGCCTACTTGGAAAAATAATGTCTGTCTTTTCAATTTGCTTTTTTCAAAGCTTTCTGGATCACGTGCAGGGTAAACCCCGCTAATTTCTCTGTGTTTCTCCTGTGGTGTTTGTGGCTTATCGGGTGAGGAAGCATCCCCGAAAACGTCCCTTCCATGCTTTGCTGCCTTTTTCTGTGTGAATGTCATTTGCAGTTGGTGTTTTCACCTTGTCTTTCACCTGAGTGGTTTTTCATGAACATCCATGTTCTTTAGAAAGAAACAATTAATGACACATAAAACGCTCAGTTTCCTTTGCCATTCATCATTGGTTGGTTACCAAGTGCCTTCCAGAATAAGAAGTTTGGCTCAGATCGAGGCACCTGCATGACCTTTATTTCAAGAAGCCATGGACCTGGGATTGTGGGATCGTTGTGGTGGGTTATGGGAAGTCAGAATCTGGAGGAGTAGAAGCAAACGGCCTTGTGCCATGTCCACAGAAACTGGGATGAAGGAAACAGTGGTTTAGATGCTTGAGACCTCCCAGCAGGTCTAAATGGCTGTTTCTCAGCCCCTGCATACGTTGCTAATCTGAGTAAGCCATGTTTCTCTGTTTCAGTCAAGTGCCTCAAAAACACTCCAGCTTTCTTTGCGGAAAGACTCAACAAGGCAATGAGGGTATGTATGCTCTAAGACCTTTGCACACAGCCATCATCATCATCATCATCATCATCATCATCATAATAAGACACTTTAAAGTTTCCAAAGCCCTTTACTCACAATAACCCTTGGGGGTAGGTGCTATTATTATTCCCTATTTTACAGCTGACAAAAATTAAAAAAAAAAAAGATTAAGTGACTTGCCCAGAATCACACAGTATCTGAGGCAGGATTCAAACCCATGTCTTCCAGACTCCAAATCAAGCACTAATCAGTACTCTGTCTAGGCAGTGTCAAGGAAACCACCGTTACATCCGTTGGGCACAGTCATCACTAATCATTGAAACAGAAGTCACTTTTAGCCTAATAATCATGCACAGAGAGGACCCGGAAGGATTAGTTGTAGCTCGGAGCCTTTGTGGGCCAGAATCCAGATCCTCCCCATGTGATGGTCAGTCTCCCCACCCAGCAGCTGTTGTGCCATCCTCAGAAAAGGGGAAGTGAGCAGACCTCACTCACATGGTCAGGCAGAGAGTAGAAATTTGGATATTATCCCACTTCCAAATATACCAGCCCCTTTTAAGTGGGGAGGAGAGGTAAAAGATGCTGATTGATGTTTTCCTGGTGACTGCAGGGAGCAGGAACAAAAGACAGGACTCTCATCCGAATCTTGGTGTCTCGAAGTGAAGTTGACCTGCTTGACATCCGAGCTGAGTATAAGAGGCTCTATGGCAAGAGTCTGTACCATGACATTACGGTAAGGGGGAGTTTTCAGGTGGAGAATTAACTGGGGCAGATTGCTCTCTGTCTCTCTCTGTCTGTCTCTGTCTCTGTCTGTCAGTCTCTCGAGGTCTAAACCTCACCGTTTAGTTATTTATTATATACAATACACAATACCCTGGTATCCTCTGATTCCACATACAGATATCATATATATCTTGTCTCTTTAAGACCAGGATCCCCACCTCATGCTTCATATCTTCCAAAACAACCACATTTTGTGTCACTAGCTACTTGACATCATCCAGTGGGGAAACCCCCCTAACCTTTTGAGGTTGGCAATCAGAAACAGTACTCTTACCTTCTGCCATATTGTTTGTCAGTTGATTAATTTCTCTCATAGGGGATTCATTGACCTTTCCAGTTTCAGTCAGAGGGCTGGTTCTAGGTTCAGCTTATTTTGATATTTGATATTAATGGCTGTCATAGCTAATAAACAATACCTTGGGAAAGTTGCATAGATTCAAAATGAAAGAACAACATTGTTAGCTATACTTCCTAAGTCGTAGTATCCATTTCTCTATACTATCCACTAATTATGCAATTATGTTGAAATTCCTCTAGTAAATTTCTGTCTTCCCTTTTGTCACTGATGTAAGCCACCCTTTTTTAGTCACAGGTGACCCTCTAAAATTAGAAATTATAGGGGCAGCTAGGTGGCGCAGTGGATAGAGCACTGGCCTTGGATTCAGGAGGACCTGAGTTCAAATCCAGCCTCAGACACATAATTACTTACTAGCTGTGTGACCCTGGGCAAGTCACTTAACCCCATTGCCTAACCAAAAAAAAAAAAAAAGAAGTGATAAATGAGCTGTGTACAATCTGTCTGTCAAAGGAGTAGCCATGCCAGTAACATTATAGGTCCTTGGTTTTTGTTTTGTTTTGTTTGTTTTTAATGAACTGTGTTGCTTTTTTATTTTTTTAATTTAAACTCGTAGCCAGAAATAGGGGAAAATCTTTACATTGGACAACCCAGAAGATGGGCACCAGTTTCCTAAATTCTAAGAATTTAGGTTGCAGTGTACACAAAAGAAAATAGACTCTAATCTGTCTTTCCGGGCTGATTACACTTTGATCTTTCTAGCACGTTCCGTATTCCATCCCAGATGGGCTGCTTACTGATCCCTCTACATGCCATTCAACCTCCCATTTCACTACTTTTGCACAGGTTGTCCCCATGCCAGGAATGCCGCCTTCCTCGTGTCTTGTCTCTTAGAAACTCTAGTTCCCTTTAAGGTTCAGCTCAAATGCCACTTCCTGCAAGAAGCCTTTCCTGAATTGAATCGCTGTTAGGATTTCCTCACTCAGAAATTACTTTGTATTTTAGGTCCTTGTTTTGTTGACCAATAATACAAGTACTACTCTGCGGGGGTCCATTTTGACCCTGAAAAATGATTCCTCCTATGTGAAAGGGTTGGGAACCATTGGTTTAACATATGCATAAGCTCTTTTTAAAAGCCTGTCAAGTGCTCTATACAAATAAAGGAATGATCATTCTAAGTTATCTTTCTCCAGTAGGATAACCTTTTGTTTTCAGGGACAAAGTAGGGGATAGGTCACAATTTACTTACTCTGATGCCACTTGAAAAATATCAGAGAATGTGTAGTTTGTAACTTAAAAAAGTTCTTCGGGCACTTAGTTTAGATTTACTATTTGGATCCAGAATGATTTGAACTTTGGGCAGATGTAGATGGGCAGAGTAGTTCTAGTGGATAGCCAGGGGGGCTAGTTTGATTCTACTTTGCAGTCTTCCCCTAGAATGACCAGGAAGCCTTCAGCCCTCCAAGAATCTTGGCTTTGCATGCCCTTACTGACTCCAGGCTCTCTTTGACCCCCTGAAGATGACACTTAGTTCCACTGGTACCTGCAGGATCCTTCTGGGGCTTGGAGGGATGGTCCCTGAGAATTGGGACCCTTGCAGTAAGAGAGAATCAGGAAACAAGGTTCCTCTTCTCTTGCCTAATTTGTCTCTTTGGTTTCTGTGGCCAGGGAGACACCTCTGGGGATTACCGGAAGATCCTGTTGAAGATATGTGGAGGCAACGACTGAGCCTGTGTGCTTGCCTTCTGACCCAGAAGAGGGAAAGAACAGCAGCCAAGTTTGTTTGTTGTTTTTCCTCCCAAAAAAGAAATCCCAGACTTGTGTAGATGTTCCAGTGAGAAGTGGATGTCAAAACATCCATCGTAGATTCCTGTCTCTGTCCCATCCTTTCCCTCCCCTAATGGCATATCACGCTGAAGGACTTTGATAGATGTTTTAGGACTTTTCTCAGGATATTTTTTTTCCATCCGTCACAGTGGCCACCAGCTTCCTGCTGCTGAAGTAGATAATTGGTTTTCTTTCCTCTCTCACAGTCTCACATGGTCCCATGTTCCTGTTGCACATTCTGAGACTGTTGGCTTCATTTAGACTTTTTAATTGTGTTTTGAAGCAATGCTTAATTTTTTTTAAATAGCCATTGCCATACGCGTGTCTTTTTTTTTTTTTTTTAAACCACAAACATTTCTGGTGCAAGGGATGACTGGTTCTCTGTGGAGGGGTGCCCTGTTTGAGAAGGGAGTGGAAAGGCATTTAAATGTAACTTGTGTGTCTGGAGGGAATGTGTCATGAGAACTGTCATTGCCAAACACTTTTTAAAATATATATAGAGAGAGACTGTGTGCTATGCCATTAGTGCACATATCATGAGAATGTAGCAGCAGCTGCTAGCCAACGACAAAAACCCTTCTGTTTTGATAGATGCCTTAAACCTGAATGTCTGTAGCTGAAAGCTGTTATCAAATTAAAGCCATCTCTCTTCTAAACCTTCTAGAAATGTCTTACTCGGTCATAGTGTGTGGTTTGCCTTTTAGTTTGTGGTACAGATTCTGCTGTTCAAGGGGCTAAGGCTGCTTTGGAGGGTGGACATCAGAGCTAAGGTAGAAACCCACCTTCAGAGTGGGAAGGGTACACCATGAGTCTTACCTAGTTCTGTCTCTTCTGGGGACCTGGGATCTGCCTCTCAAATGTCAGGCAACCAAATATTGTTATGGAGCCATGAATATAGTGTCACTTATGTGTCCCTCAGCGGCACGGCCAGGCAGCATAGTGGATCTGAGTCCAGGTGCCGAGACTGGGGGAGCAGAGGTAGCAAAACTGAGAGCATGCTATAGAAACGGTGGCATGGGAAGAGGAAGGCTACTTGGAAACAAGAAGGCTAGAGGCATCACCTCTGAGAACAGGATCAAGAAATCAACAGCTCAGAATCGAGAGTCAGGAAGAGCCGAGACTCGTGGGAAAATGCCAAGAAACAGGGAAGGACTAGATCCACTGCTTGGGGCCTATGCCAGTGGACAGAAAGAATTCCTGGACTCTTGTTTCCATCTTTTTGTCTAGGTCAAGGTTCTTAACTTTTTTAGTGTCGTGGCCTCCGTACCTCCCACCCTTTGGCAACGTGCAGTTAAGTTTATGGATCCCTTCTCAGAATAATGTTTTTATATAATTGAAGGAAATGCTAAATTTCTTTTGGAGATTAGTGAAAGTAGAGATGCATTTTCTTTCCCCATCCAAGCTCATCGACCCCTTGAAGTGTGTCCCTGGATCCCTGAGGAGGAGACCCCAGGTCAAGAACCACTAGACTAGAAGAAAGATCTTCAAGGCTGGAAAGGCTGGAACAAACATGGCCAAGAAGAAATTTAAAGCCGAGAGTTAAATAATCGCCTAGGTTCCCTCGAGGAGTTCAGATCACCTGACCTAGTAGATATTTTTGTTTTGGGCCTTTGTGTACTCCCAGAGTGCACCACAATGCACACAGTAGGTGCTTACTATAAGTTTGTTGAATCAGATTACCTTCCAGGGCACTGAATAATTTGCTGATTGGTCCTAGACTAAACCACTGGCTGTCATCTTTTAGCAACCAATAGATCAGCCAATAGAGGATGGCACGGATGCCAAAAGGTAAGAGAACTGTTATTCTCTGAGTCCGTATTAAGCATCTGCTATGTACCAGGCACTGTACTAAGCATTGAGGATACAAAGAAAGGTAAAAGACAGTCCCTGCCATCAAAAAGCTCATATAGTCTACTGGGGGAGAGAACATGAAAACCAATATGAACAAACGAGTTAAAGACAGTATAGAGAGGAAATAATCAATGGAGGGAAGGCCACTAGCATTAAGAGGGACTGGGAAAGGCTTCCCATAGAAGGTGGGATTTTGGCTGGGACTTGAAGGAATCCAGGAGGCAGAGATGATGAGGGAGAGCATTCCAGGCATGGGATACTGCTGGTGGAAATGCCCAGAGTCGGGAGATGGGAGTGTAGTATGAAAGGAACAGCAAGCAGACTTCTGGGTCACTGGAATGAAGAGTACAAGATGGGGGTTAGGGAGGGGAAACTTTTGGTTCCTAAGGTGATAGAAAACTGAAAAGATGGGTGGGGATCAGGATTAAAGGGCTTTGAATGCCAAACAAAGGATATGATATTTCATCTTGAAGATGGTAAGAAGCCACTGTAATTTATTGAGTACTGGGGATGAGGTAGGATGACATAGACCTGCACTTTAGGAAGATCGTGTAGCCTGCTGAGTGGAGGTTGGACCAGTCAGGAGAATCTTATGGCAGGCACAATAGGCTTGTTACAACAATCCAAGCATAAAGTTTCAAAAGGGTTGGGGAGATGGATTCTACAAATTAGATCAGAGAATGTGAGGTCAATCCCTGACAAAATTCTAGCATGTTTATGAGCACATAGAAAGCAGTGGTGATCTTGGTGTTACTAAGCCCAACTCATACCAAACTGATGCTATTAACTTTTTGTCGGGGACAGGGTCACACAGATTGGTAGAGCAGGGTATTGCCATAAAGAAAATGGATCTGGGGCAGCTGGGTGGTGCAGTAGATAGAGCTCTGGCCTTGGAGTCAGGAGGACCTGAGTTCAAATTTGACCTCAGACATGACATTTACTAGCTGTGTGACCCTTGGCAAGTCGCTTAACTCCGATTGCCTCACCAAAAAATAAAAAAGAAAATGGATCTGGTTTTTAAGGAGGCATCTAACAAAGTCCCTCAAGTGTTCCTTTGGACAACATGTGAGCTGGTGAGTAGACCTCAGTGAATGGAAAGACATCTCTAATGGTGTTCTGCAAGGAGCATTCCCCCCTTCTGCTATCCTATTGAATATTTTTATAAGTGTCTGATGAAGGTATACGTGGTATATACTTACTAAATTTACAGATAACACCTAACTGAAAGATAAATAATACAATGGATGAAAGAATCAGGACCCATTGGATAAAATTTGAAAACTAAATGTAAGGTACCATTCTCAGATTTTAATAATCACTTGCAGAACTAAAGGATAAGAATGGACCTAGGGGCAGCTAGGTGGCGCAGTGGATAGAGCACGGGCCCTGAAATCTGGAGGACCCGAGTTCAAATGTGGCCTCAGACTAAACACTTGACACTTACTAGCTGTGTGACCCTGGGCAAGTCACTTAACCCTAATTGCCTAAAAAAACAAAAAAGAATGGACCTAGATTAATAGCAGTGTGAATGAAAAAAAATTGGGGGAGAGGGGTTTACTTGGTTGCAGGTCCATAATAGTGATGCGTGGCTGCCCAAATAGCCAACTAGCTTCATTAATAAACATAAAGGGTCCAGAAGGAGTTGTCTGGATCCTGTTCCTTGGTCAGACCATACGTGGAATGTGTTAGTTTGGAGTGCGACCCTCTTGAAAAAGGTCTGGGGGCACCAGCAGCAATAAGATCTTCATAACCAAGATCCAGTTCTGTTTTCTGCCAAACTGTAGTATGGGATTCAAAGCCAGGACATTTCAATTAAAATCTTGGTTCTGATACTTACTTAGTTGTGTGGTCCTTAGCAAGTCATTTAAACTCTGATCCTCAGTTTTCTCATCTGTAAAATGGGAATAATGCTTTTATTAATCTGTCCTGTGGAGCTGTTGTCAGGAAATTGTTTTGTAAACTGAAAGCTCTCCATACTTGGGAGATCCTTTTATTCTGTAAAACTGGGAGGGAAAGCTCAGGGACTGAACCAGGCTGTGTCTTGCGCAGAGATGTCAGACACCCCTAGTGCTGCAAAGCCAGGTTAAAATTAATTCGGAAATACTTCATAAAATAAATAAACTATAATAGAATGTAAAGTTAATGTGATTTTCTTAGTCATGAGTCTTGGGATTTGAGGTCAAAGGCCTGTTGTCACACATGTGAACCAGCAAATCTTAAACCAGGTAAATTGCTTGAAGACTGTGGCAGAGCCTTGGACTAAAACCCAGGAAATAATTCCAAATGAGAACCAAACCTGTAAACTACCAGGGGGTGCTTCCCTTGCTCAGTGGCTGGAGTAGCCTATTTCAAGGTTTACTCTTCCTTACTTGAGACAGCTTTGTTATAAAGAACTGCAGACATATTCTGCCCTAGGCAGGAGTTTCTTAAATCCTACCTGCTGAGATAGGAACCAGTCCCAGGACAAAGATAGCCTACAAGCCACAGGTTAAGTGGCAACAAACTTACGGCTAATCAGATTCAAGCTTTAAGAAAAAATGACTGCGTAGATTGATGCTGGGCGTTCTGAAAAGAGAAGAGGATCGCAGACCATCAAAAATGGGGAAGTAATTAGGCCCCCTTCCTGAGTTTGTCTGCCCAGACGTGTTTGCTGCCTGCAGATACTTCACCTATAGAGTGAACAGAAGAGGACGATGTAGGGCAGAGGCCCTTTCAATGCTCCAGGCTTCACAGAGTGGAAATCACAGATTTAGGAGGAACCTCAATGGTCATTCTGTCCAATGAGTACCTGAATATGAATTCCCTTTATGTCGTCCCTGAGGAATGTTCATCTGTCCTTTGCTAGACAACCTGCGAGGGAGAACCTATCATAAGATCATAGATTTAGAGTTGGAAGAGACCCGAGAGGCAAACTCCCCCATTTTACAAATGAGGAAACTGAGTCACAGAGAAGTTAAATGACTTACCAGGGTCATGCAGGTAGTAAATCATCTGACACAGGATCTGAAGTTAGGTCTTCCTGATTTTGCATCCAGTTTCTTGGCCCCTAATTGAGGCTTGGGATATTTCTCCCTTGGGATATTTCTGATTTTTAGGAACGTTTCCTCATATCATGCCTAATTAATTTGGCCCTGAAACTTAGATTATTTATTCCTGGTTTTGCTATCTTATGATATTTCTTGTCTTATTCCTGCTAAGAAAAGAGAAAAATATTCTTTGTAGACCAAATTGTTCAGAGGACAGTAGCCGTGCTGAGATATAGATAGCCCTTGACCAGTGAATTTGACTTTGCTGTGGCTGCAGAGACAGACTTAGTGATAGTTCCTCTCAACGCTTCTTTGAGGAAGGAACAGTAGGATGACATTACATTCAAATATACCTCTGGGTGAGTTGGAAGGGTTGTTTCTGACAGGGACTTTTCTTTTCCTTCCTCCCTTCTATCCCAACACATACTCTTTTTGTTGGAGTTTTTGTTATTGTTGTTCCAGACCGATAATTTCATCTGTACAGGAGCTGCCAAGTGAGGAAACTGGTCTGCTACTTAAAACTTTTAGAGTAGGTAATGAGGGATCAGCTAACTTGCCCACGATTAGGTAGGTAGACTGAGTCAGAGGTAAGACTCAAGCTAAGATCTTGTCTTTAAGGCTAGCTCTCCTCTCTTCCAGGATGCTTCTCACCACATACTACATAGCTCATATACAAGCATATCCTACATACCCAGTAATTACTTAAAACTAAGACCAGGCAAAAAATCACCCAGAACAATTCCATAGAAACTATCATATGTGAGTCATTCACTAAATGATGTTACGGTACCACTTATCTACTTTACAGTGATATTTTGTTATAATGATGTTGCTGGACATGGCGGCTTTGTTTGGAATACTCCCGTATGGTGACTTAGGAATCTACAAGGCACGTTTTCTCAAAACAACCTTATGAGGGAGATTATGCAACAAATAATAATAATTACCCCCATTTTACAGATGAGAAAACTGAGGTACAGAAAGACTAAATGTCTTGCCCATGGTTATATGGCTAGTCAGTAAGAAAACTGAGAATTGAATCTATGTTTTCTTTCACTTCAAGGTAGGATTTGAACTATTACACCAGTGATTCCCATTTAGTGTTTTACAACCCCTACCCCACCATGGTCCAAAGGGTTGGTGCTGAACATTCTTTAATAGTGCCCTAAGCAATAATTACCCAATTATGTTGCAGATAAGCTTCAATCAGTTCTTGATAATAAAGAGTTGAACAGTGAGCATGTTACATTTCTAACACATATAGACGTTAGGTGACTTTTCCATGTCTGAGTTATTACTCATCTGTTTGAATTAAGAGAAGAATTGACTGTCTTCACTCACCATCCTTTTGACCTGAGTGTACATAGCGACGAAAATGAGCATATTTAGTAGACATCTTTTAAAAAATGAATGAACTCAACACATCATTACAGGGTGAAAATGGAAACATATTTCATGTTCAAGACAAAGTAAAAAGTATGATTAAGATACTACAATTTTGGAACCCCACATAATTAAGAACAGTAGGTTCTGTGATATTGCATAACTATTAGAAAGTGAACTACCTTTGGATTAGGTTGTCAAGAAAGTCATCCGAGATCATCTGCAATTTTTAGAAGTGACTTGAATAACTTCCTGAAATTTCCAATAAATTTAATTGGACTTGACACGTTTGATAGGTCTTTTATGTCTGACTGATTAAATGACAGTGGATGAAAAAGAAAATTGACATATCGAAGGATCTTGGACCATGACCATCACTTAAAAATGATAGCCCTATACATCTTTGGCTAAAAATAAATGAATTTCCATCAGCAGGAGAGCTTGTAAAAGTCTCCTACCATTTTCCCTACATATTGTACAAATGAACATTTTCACTTTCTTCTTTTAAATCAGAACACAGAAACAAACTTGATGTACAAACAGATTTAAGATTGTGTCTGGTATTGAGCCGATAATATTGCAAACCTTTGTTCAAATAAAAAAAAGTACAACATTGAATTTAAGTTTATGTGTGATTATAATATTATGAAGATATTATAATGTCTTCCAGGTTGTAACTTAGTTCATTAAAATGTTATTTATATTCAATTAAGTTTATAAAATAAAGAAATTTAAATAGGAAGTCTTGCAGAAAATAGTAAGCATATGTGGTCTTGCTAGATTACTTTTAAGTCTTAAAGAACGTCTCATAAAATGTTTGTAATTCTATAATTATAGTTTAATAATTTTATTTAGAGTTTCCATAATTGTATAATGCAAGTTTTAGTTTGGAGCTTTGAGGGGCAAGAATTATCACTGTAGTTATTGTAAGCAATTAATGGACAAATCTAAAAGAATATTATTACAAGTATTATCCATGGGGTTCACAACCCATTTTTTTTGTTGTTGTTGTTGAAGGATGATTGAAGAACAAAAAAAGTTTGGAAGTGATAGTTCCTCTATAGAAAATGAACTATAGAAATTACTATAGAAATGGATTACTCTAGAAAATGAATTATAAGGGGCAGCTGGGTGGAACAGTGGATAGAGCTCCGGCCTTAGAGTCAGGAGGACCTGAGATCAAATCTGACCTCAGGCCCTTGATGCTTACTAGCTGTGTGACCCTGGGCAAGTCACTTAACCTCAATTGCCTCACCCAAAAAAAAAAAGAAAAGAAAAAAAATGAACTATAGTTAAGGAATTTTGATGATCACCTGACCATCTTGTTTCACACATGGGGAAACGTGCCCAGAGATATTTACCCAAGACTACATAGACATAATCCACATTCCATGTTCCATGGCAGATCGGAGGCCACCACTCTGCCTTCTCAAACATCCTTCCCCTCTTCTCTCTCCCCTTTTTGCCTTTCCTTTCTCTCTTCTCCAATTCCCCTCTCCCTCTCTCCACTTTCCCTTTCTAGTCTCCCAGAAGTAACTTGTCTTGCATCTAAACCTCCCTTCCTTCTGTGCAGGGAGCTCTTAATCTTTTGTGTCATGGACTACTTTTGGCAGTCCGATGGAGCCTGTGAACCTTTTTCTGCAATAATGTTTTCAGTACATGTGATTATAAAGGAAACCAATTATATTAAAATATAGTTGTTGTTGTTTTTCTTGTAAGTTCAAGGAACTCAGGTTAAGTACTTTTGTTCTACGAAATAGAATCTACCAGCAAGAGCGCGCTGGGTTTTCTTACCTCAGAGGGGCCAATGCTTTCCTTTGTGCCAGTTTGTTTCCCAACTCACTCTTTCCCTCTCACCAGGGTTTCCTGCCTCCACCTCCCCTCCTTCTAGGCAGTTTTCCTTGCTGAAGCCCTTTGTGCCGATGTCTTGGCTCTTATCAACTTCTACTGAGGCTTCCTCTCTACCCTTCTTACTGACTCTTCCAACTTTTGTCTAAGTCAGAATACATATCCACTTGACCCTGGACTTAATTTAGCTTGAGATCAGTTGTGTTAGGAAGGAGAGGGAGAGTATACTTGAGTCCCTAAATCTCATGTAACTCTTGAGTTTTTAGTCATTTATCTACAAGATGTGGACTGTCCCCATCAATGCCCCCACTGATGCCAAGGATGTTAAATTCATAGATTTTAGAGGCATTCGCTTCACCCCACAGTTTTTACAGTTGAGGAAAACAGGTCCAGAGAAGTTTGTGTGCCAAAGGTCACAAAGGTTGCACGGAGCAGGTTCAGGATTTGAACCTAGATCTTTAGACTACATTTTCAGGGTTCTAGACTTCCAGGACCAAGATGATTTCCTTGAATAAGGAGAATGTGAATCTGACTGATCCGGCAAAGCAAATGGAGATAAAAGCAAAATAAAGAGGGAAGCATCAGACCTGTGGCTTGTCGCAACAGTGCAAGAGTCTCCACATTACCGCTCACAGTACAAGACACATTTATTACATGACAGCCTTTTCCAACAGGTGTCCAAGTGGATGGAAGAACAGCCACCTGGGGAGGGAGTTATCCAAAAAGTCGTGGAGCCACTGCTGCCCTCAGCTCCAGGTCCTCTTGGTCGTCATAGGGATTCTGTAGGAAACAGGAGGTCTCACGGTGGGTGGAAACAGCAACAGCATAGAAGGAAAGACTGATTGAATGCCTGTGGGTGGGTATCTAGATTTGCAAGGAGGGAGAGGCTCCTCTGTTGGGGAGGCCTCCTTCCAACTCCTGTGTGTTGTGGGGCTAAAATGAATAGCCACTTTGTCCATAAAACTGGAAACTTTCTTCCAATTAACCCTCTGATCCTGTCCCCCTGCAGTGCCCAGATGGTGCTCTTCCCCCTGGGCTCAAAGCTTTTTATTTCAGTATCAGACTTAAGAAGCAAACTCTCCCAAGAGAGGATTCACCAAAGTCTTAAAATTTATGCCAGTGTATAAGGTGCTGACGAGAGATCTTCCCTTAAGGAAAGGTTTTGTTAAGAAGAGGGGAAGAGAAAGCCCGAGAGAATCTGTTGTCTGCAAGGGAGAAGACGGTGGCACAAGGAGGGGAAATGACCATAGCCCTAGGAAGCTGTTGGTGCCCAAACCCATTGCGCATGTCCCAGGTTTGCTGAAGGTCACATTCTACCTAGCCCTTCTCCTTTGTTCTGCTTTTCTGCATGGGGAACCCAGCTCCTTCTTCTTCAAGCAGAACTAAATCTAGAGTGGTAGGGGCAGCAGATCTTGTCTACCTGTTTGCATGTGGAACCCCCTTTCCCCAGAAATTCCCAATCTCTTCTGGGACATGTCTTTGGCTGGACCTTTTGGCAACAGAGGGAATACAAGGTGCAGAAGGGTAGTTAAGGCTTCAGGGAATTGGGGAAGGGGGCGATGCATGAGGAAGGGCAGTCAGGGAGGAGTAAGACCAGAGCCCAGTGCTGACTGAGATCTTCACTGAAGCTTACCACATCTCCCCTCCCCCTGCATCCTCTTCCTCGTCTGCGGGGAGCTCCCTTTGCTCATCAGCAGAGCTGAAGAGATGGCAAGACCCAGCCATGTCTATTTTTCCTCCTGTTGACAGCAGGAATGGGAATGTCTTAGTGCCTTCCCAGGCCCCCAACTTGAGCTAATCTTTCCAAAAGTAAAGGCAAAGAGAGGCAATTTGGCAGAATGGGTACAGGCTAGGTTTTGGCATCAAGAAGACCTGAGTTAAAGTTCCGCTTCTGACCCATGCCAATCACGTGACCCTTTCAGAGTTCCAGACGATAAATTACAAAAGAAATGCTATTCTGCATTTCTAATAAAGAGTTTCTACACCAGAGGATTATTCATCCCTATGAAACCACAGGACTTGACCAAACCCTCCCCCACCAAATATATGTGTTTGTTTATGTGCATATATGAGATACACAATGCCATGTGTCTAAAACTACACACAGGACACAGAAATGTATACATATATGTGTATAGTGTACGTAGTATATATGTGTATAGTATAATGTAGTGTACATGTGTTTTATATATATAAAAGATACATACACGGAACCCCCCACATGTAAGATAGTTATGTGTTACATGAATATAAGATACGTGCATTTATAACCCCATGTGATACATGTGCATGGCATATATGTACATGTGTTTGTGTACATGTGCACACAAAAGTAAAGGCACGCACACACACACACACAGGGTAAAGTCTACTCACTTTATCCTCCCACCCTTCTTCCCCAGGTTAGTACCCTCCTCCAGACATCAGCTGAGTCAAACCAGGTGTTTTGGCTTACAGTAAGACTCTTAAAGACCTCACGTTCTGAGAACCACATTTTCTTCCAAAATCTGGAATCTCTCATCTGATCTTTTTTTGTGTCTTTTGGTATTCATCCCTACTGCGAATGAGAAGGGGAGGTGGGATATCATCTTATCTTTTTTTCATGAAGACCTAAAACCATCCTGGTACCTTTGGGCTTTAGCCTTGTCTGTGTTACATCTGTGCCCTTTATTTTCCCGTTGAAAGACACCCAAATCATGCTACTTCCTTATTCCTACTTCTTGAGACAGCTAGGTGGTGTGGTAGATAGAGCGCCGGGCCTAGACTCAGGAGAACTCAAATTCAAAATCAGCCTCAAACTCTTACTAGCTGTGTGAGCCTGGGCAAGTCACTTAACCTTGGTTTGCCTCAGTTTCCTCAACTATAAAATGGGGATGATAATAATAGCACTTGCCTCAGGGTAGCTCAAAAGAAGCATGCGATGTGCAGCTTTAGAGACCCCCTCATTCCAAATGTGCATATGGACTATTTGTGCCTCACCTGTGGTAGAGCCTTCTGAGCTCATATCAGTGCTATCAACCAACCACAGGTGGACACGCCGTATATTGACCCCGACATAGTGATGTCATTTTTGTCCTCTTCGAGAACAAAGGACAACAACCAACCTCATAAAGTTGTGAGGATCAAATACTTGTAAAGCCCAATGCCCCACACGTAGTAGGTGCTATATAAATGCTAACTATTATTATTATTATTATTATTATTCCTGATCCCTCTCACTTTTTACCCCTAGAGCCTTGAGACTCATTAAATTGCAGCTGGAGGGGGGCTTGGGACAAAAATTGGAAGTCTAGGCTGGAGCCAGGACATTCGGGACCCTCAGAGGGACACGCACCATCTCCAAAGAAGTTCTCAGCGGGGCTCCCAGGCTCCGGGGGCAAGTTCCAGGCTATCCCATCCATCAGGTTCAGCAGGCTCTTTACTTCAGACTCGAGGTGCTCCACAGTCTTGTCCAGGGTCTGGTAAGGAGACAGTGAAAAAGTCAGGGGACGGGGTAGGAAAGAAGGGCCCAGAAATGGGAGATGGCCTAGGGTCAGGGCTGAGTCTGGATCAGACTAGCTACTGTGCCGTTGCTGGATTTCATCCCATTGAGCCGTACGTAGGGTTAGGGGCCATGGTGTAATTGGTAGCAAAACCAAACCTATATTATAAAGAGATGCATTAAATTAGTATTATGTATCATACGTATCATAGTAATATCATGTATCATATCATATCTACCCTACATATCTGACAGCCAGGTGGCGCAGTGGGCAGAACACTGGGCCTAGACTCAGGAAGAACTAGGTTCAAATCCAGCCTCAGACACTTACTTAGCTGTGTGACCCTGGGCAAGTCATTCAACTTGTGATGGCCTCAATTTCTTCAGCTGTAAAATGGGGCTAATAATAGCACCTACTTCACAGGGTTATGGGTGGCTAGGTGGTACAGTGGTTAGAGCATTGGGCCTAGAGTCAGGAAGACTCATCTTCCTTAAATTCAAATCTGGCCTCAGACACTTACCTGAGCGAGTCACTTAACCCTGTCTGCCTCAGTTTCTTCATTAGCAAAATGAGCTGGAGGAGGAAATGACAAACCACTCCAGTATCTTTGCCAAGAAAACCCAAATGGGGTTGCGAAGAGTTTGTCTTTATTTTTTCTTTTAGATTTTTAGACAATTGGGGTTAAGTGACTTGCCCAAGGTCACACAGCTAGTACGTGTCAAGTGTTTGTTCTGAGGCCAGATTTGAACTCAGGTCCTCCTGACTTCAGGGCCAGTGTTCTATCCACTGTGCCACCTAGCTGCCCCCCACAAAGAGTTTGAAATGACAGAACAAACAACCACTATCTCACAGGGTTGTTGTGAAGATCAAGTGAAATGATATTTGTAAAGTACTCAGCACGATACCTGGTATACAGCAGGCTCTACATAAATGCTTATTCCCTTCCTTTCCTTACCCATGTTCATCTACTTGTGTCCAGGCGTCTCAGATTTCTTTAAAGAAAAGGATGTGAGCTTTTGAGGAGATTGTACAGGGAGGGAATAACCTGGGGGTTCTGATTTTGCACTTACATACTCGGTATAAAAGGGATGCAGGATCTCCCTCCCTTCTTTGAAGAGGTGGGGCTCTATGGGTGTGAGCCATTGCATACACTATCAGATGTCCTTGTTGGGCTGGTTGCTTTGTCTGGGCTGCTTTTTTCCCTATTTGTTATAAGGGAAGAGTTATTAGGTAGGGAAGGAGGGAAGGATATTTTCGGAAATGATGTCAAAAGGTAATAATGAGATAAATAGTTAACAAGAAAAGAGGTGCTAGTCTCATCCTTTCCAACAAAGTCCCAGGATGCGGGCTCACATGGCTTCTGTCATGCTTCCCTCTAGTGGCCTTCTAGGAAAATAATGAGTTTAGAGTTTGGAACGTTTTCTTCCATAAAGAATGCATTGTTTTTTAAACTCTCTCAATTTAACTCTTTTTATAAAATATTTATTAAGCAAAGAGGTGTGTATGTGTGTGGCACATGTGGCCACTTTAGAAACAAGGATTTGAGCATCAGCCCTGAAGTCAGGAGGACCTGAGTTCGAATCTGGCCTCAGACCAAACACTTGACACTTATTAGCTGTGTGACCCTGGGCAAGTCACTTGACCCCAATTGCCTAAAAAAAAAAAAAAGAAAGAAAGAAAGAAACAAGGATTTGGATTTACTGCGTCTTCCCTTAAGAAGAGGAACAATCACGGTGATGCTGATAATCAATTATACGGTCACTAGGAGAAGCAGTGCGATGTAGAGAGCAGGCCTCCCAGTCAGGGTGACATGAGTTCAAGTTTCAACTCGGATACATCCTGGTTGTGTGACTTTGGGTGAGTCACTGAACTTTTCAGTGCTCCCAGACAACTCTAAGAACACTTTTCAATCTGCATTAGGAAAGGAAGTTTTCTTAAGGAGGAACTCCCAGTGCTGATGAAATCACAGGTCTAGACAAATAATGATAATGATCATAATAACAATATGCCACTATTATTTTTTGTTATCATCATTATACAATTCAACAAACAATGCACACCTACTATGTGCTTCACCCTGAGTTAGGTACTAGGTATATGAAGATGAAAAGTAAAACTGCCCAGAGTCAGCAGGATGCTGTGGAAAGGATACTGGAGACAGAGGACCTGAGTTCAAATCCCAGCATAGCCACTTATTACCCATAATGCCTCGGACAAGTCACTCCATGTCCCTGGTTCTTTGCTTCTTCATGTACGAAGTGAGGATGGTGGGCTAGAAGACCTTTAAGGTCCCTTCCAGCTCTCAGTCTGTGATTCTATGATCCTTGACATCTAATCATTACCAGTGGTCTACACTGAACCTCTCTTCCATTCGTGAGCAAGGCACCCAATGTAGATGCCAGTATGGGTCCCCTTACCTGGAATGCCTCCCTTGACTCTCTTGGTCTACCCAATCCTGCTAATCCGTCAAGGCAGGAGACTTTTACTGCTTCTTCCAGTCCACAGATACCTTTGCTTTTCTTGATACCCCTAAGCAGACCAGTCTACAATTTAGGACTTGATTCTATGTCGCCTTATATTGTTTTTCTCATGCATTCGTCTTGTCTCCCACAGCTGGGAGAGACATGGGCACGGTCCTGCGTTTCCTTGTTTTTCTCAGCAGTTGGCACAGAGCTGGATGAATAATTGAGCCCCCTCTCCATCTCTGCCACCTGTGCCCCTACCATCCCCAGAGCTGCTAGTGCCTGACTTGCCTCCCCACCCCCTCCCCCTTTTCTCCCACCCCATCCCGCAGCTCCCGTACCTCTTCCACAAGGTCTAGACGACTGTGGAGAGCTTTATGTTCTTCACACCAATTCATCCACTGGTCTGCATTCCCAGGGGAGGACCTGAATGGTTGTGCGGCTGCAGGAAACACAAACATAGTTTAAGGTTGCGCTCCCCTCACCCGACTATCCGCTTCCTACATAACCCCAGCAAGCAAGCAAGAAGAACACCAGAGCTCAAAGAAGGTGGTGGTTCTCGTTGAAGGGAGGGAAAAACAAAATGAATCGATGTGTATGTACTCTGGCATCTTTCCAGTCAAGGCTCAGCTCTTGGCTCACCTCCTCCTTGAAGCTTTCCAAGACACCTTTAGCCCAAGGGGACCGAATAACCTCTCCTTTCTCCGAAGTCCTATGCTCTTAGCGTAATAATAGCTCCTATTTATATTGTACTTTGAGGTTTAATGAATCACTTTTACTTACATCATCTCATTCCATCATCACAAGAACCCTGTAAAACAGGTACTATTATCATCCCCCTTTTACAAATTAGGAATCTGACACCAAGAGTAGCGACTCATTCAGTGACTTGATCAATGTTATACAGTAAGTACCAAAGAAGGAATTTAATCCCCAGTCCTCCTGCCTCCAAGTCCATCCATCCATCCTTTCAGTTATACCAACTTTCTACTTAAATCAACACCCCAAGATTTTTCACTTGATCATGGACGGTCTTGTACCATTCTTTACTTGTTTCATATGTAGAGAGATGAGAGGAAAAGGCTTTGTTAGTGGCTGCTGAGGATGTAATAAAAATGTCACTGTTTCATTCAGAATTCTATAGCTAGTTGCTATTTACAAAGAACAGATTTTTAGAATTCTTTCGCCAGCAGAACAATTGCTATTTTGCATAGAACCTAGGGACTGCTGGGAACAGGTTAAAACATTTTTCCTTATCAGTGACTTTTAATCCTTTTCTGTTTAAGGAAATGGGGACCTTGGGAGATTTACTTCAGTGAAGGGGTAAGATTAGCCTAAAAATGAGTTTCCGAACATGTCCGGGACATTGAACTGATAAGCCTAGGTGAAGGCAGTGTAGTTCATTTCAGAAGCTGAACCATTTCTCTATCTGACCCCCAAACCTGCTGTCATTCCATCTTTCTCCTAAACTTACTTTGCCCTCATCATGATCTCCAATCCATTTACCCCTCAAGTCATTTCTTGGGCCACTGCCTCTGCTCTTACTTTCCTCTCTTCCCTTTCTGATCTCCACCATATAATTAGCCAATTCAATGCCACACTGTCCTCTGCTCAACCTCTTTTCCTGTTCCTGTTTATCCCTTGCCAAACCTCAGCCCTGGATTACTCTCACTATCCACCTCCTCTGCTCCTATTCACATGCTATGAAAGAAGCTGGAGAAAGCCACCACTGTGTGGAAATGGATCAATTATAAATGTATGTTATCTAACTTCAACAGGGTCATCCATGGATAGGGAACACAGGTCAGGGCACCTGTGTTAAGTGATGCACACGTAGGGACTTGTGTGATTGGGACAAAGGCATGAAGGGGTAAATAATGACTTTACCACCCCAAAACTACCAGTGTCTTCTGCTGATGTCCTTGTCTAACTCTCCCAAGTTTCTCTCCATACCAATCTATCTGTCACAGATACACCAAAATAATCTTCCTGAATGCAGGTCTAACTATGTCCCCTCCCTACTCAAAATAAATGGCTCAATTAAAAAAACAAAACCAAAAAACATTAAGTAGCCGGTAGGTGCTCAGCTCTATGCTAAGCACTGGGGATACATTAAGAAAAAGACAGTCCATTTCCTCAAGGAGTCTACAGTCTGATGGGGGAAGACATCACACAGAAGAAAGCTGGGAAAAGGCAGGGGGTCACCAGAGGGTGCCCAGCATGAAGGCATCTTAATCTTGGGAGTTGAATCCAAGCAGAGCTGCAGATAGAAAGTCAAGTGAGCTGCAAAGTCCAGGTTCTGCTCTCTATAAAGAAAAGCTTTGGGTGGGATTTAGTATTCCACCCCTCAGTCCTCCAACCAGGGGGGAGAGGAGGCTGAAGGATGAAATATAAGTTACTCGATTTAGCATTTACATATCTTTACAACCTTGTTCCATCCTACCTTTCTGTCTTTCTTGTAATTTATTCCCCTTACACTCTCTGTGATCCAGTCATACTGACCTACTTACCATTTCTTGCATACTCCATCTCCTGTCTCTGCCTTTGCCCTGACTGTCCATCGTGTCTAGAATGTGCTCCCTCTTCACCTTTGCCTTTTATAATTCCTAGTCTGCTTCAGCACTCAGCTTAAGTACCTCCACCTATGTGAGGCATTTCCTGATGCCTCCAGCTGCCCATGCCTTCTCCTCAATCATCTTGTCCCTATTTGGTATATATTTTGGCATGCCTCCTTGATGTTAAGGTACTGACTTACCTTTGTCTTCACATCCCCAGAGCTTACCACGATGTCTGGCATACAGAGGTTACTAAAAATGTATTGATTCATTGAAGCTACACCTCTCTTAATGTAGCCCCAAATTACGTTAACTCAGTGATTGATTATGACTTCAGAAGACTGATTGGGAAACATGCCTCCCACCTCTTGGCAGAGAGATGGTGGATTATAAATAAGTGAGGCATATTTTCCAGACATAGCCAATATGTTGATTGTTTTCCTTGGCTTTTCATATTTGTTTCAAGGAAGATGCTAAAGGAAAATGATAAATGTTAGAGGGGATGTGGGAAAATTGGAATACTAATGCACTGTTGGTAGAGTTGTGAACTGATCCAACCATTCTGGAGAGCAATTTGGAGGCTAGAAAACTGTGCATATGCTTTGATCCAGCAATATCACTACTATGTCTGTATCTAAGAGACAGAGAGACAGAGAGAAAGAAAGAGACAGAGAGAGAAGAGAGCTATTTGTACAAGGATATTTACAGCAGCTCTTTTTGTGGTGGCAAAGAATTGGAAACTGGGGGAATGCCCATCAATTAAGGTATGGCTGAACAAATTGTGGTATATGATTGTAATGTTATACTATTGTGCTATAAGAAATGATGAGTAAGCTGATTTCAGAAAAACCTGGATTTACATAAAGTGAAAGTAAAGTGAAGTGAGCAGAACCAAAACATGGTATACGGTAACAGCAGTATTGCATGATGATCAACTGATAATCACGTAGCTCTTCTCAGCAATGCAATGATCCAAGACAATTCCAAAAGACTCATGAGGGAAAATGCTACCTATATCCAGAGAAAGAACTGACAGGCTCTGGATGCAGATCGAAGTATACTATTTTTCGCTTTGTTTTTTGTGGGGTTTTTTTTGGTCTATGTCTGTTTTTCACAACATGACAAATATGGAAATGTGCTTTGCATGATTGCACACGTATAACCTATATCAAATTGCTTACTGTCTCAGGGAGGGGTAAGGTGAGGGAGGGAGAAAATATGAAACTCAAAATTTTTAAAAATAGATGTTAAAAATTGTCTTTACATGTGATTGGGAGCTTTTTTTTTTAATTAAAAAGAGAAAATTCTACTGCAGGGGAGGAGGGGACAGAGTAGGAGAAGTTAATTTGACAGTGTCAATGGTGTTATTTAAAAAAAAAAAGGAAAGAGCGACAACAAAGCATTTTAAAAGAAAAAAAAAGATTGCATTAGCTCTTCTGGTATCATTGCCTTATATCTCTAGGGTGATTCATATTTGCCAGAATTTTCACATCCATTGTCTCGTTAGATCTTATAAGGGAAGCAAAGCAAATTATCCTCATTTTGGGGGGGGGGGCTAGGCAATGGGGTTAAGTGACTTGCCCAAGGTCTCACAGCTAGTAAGTGTCAAGTGTCTGAGGCTGGATTTGAACTCAGGTCCTCCTGACTCCAGGGCTGATGCTCTATCCACTGGGCCACCTAGCTGCCCTCAAATTATCCTCATTTGACAGATCAGGAGCCTGAAGCCAGAGATGTAGAGTGACTTGCCTCATATGTCACGGTGGTTGAGCCGGGCCTACAACATACACCTCCTCATTCCCCGTTCAATGTTCTCACCATTATACCCTTCTATGGAACCCTCAGCTACTTAGCCATGGTAGGGCCTGTGATGCAGAAGGTAAGATCTGCCCCAGAGATGTATCAATGTTGCCTTTAGCATTTTGTTATTGTTGTTTCAGTCATGTCCAGCTCTTTGTGAGTCGGACCGAGCTGCCCCACCTTCAGCATAGGATACCCTAAAATACTTCCCATAAAAGGCCCCAAAATGAACTTCAGCTATCATGTGGCCTAGGGAAATGGCTGCCATCGCTTATCTGTCACCATTGACCTTCTTGGTAATGCTGGTAACTTCACCTTCAAATGATCAAGTATTAACCATTTCTAGGAGCAGCAAGGTGGTACAGTGGATAGAGCACCAGGCTTGGAATCAGGAAGATCTGAGTTCAACTCCAGCTTCAGATACTTACTAGCTATGTGACCTGGGCAAGTCACTTAACCCTGTTTACCTTCATTTTCTCATCTGTTAGATGAGCTGGAGAAGGAAATGGCAAACCACTCCACTGTCTTTGCCAAGAAAATCCCAAATGGGGTCACAAGGAGTTGGACAGGACTGAGATGACTGAATAACAACAATTAATCAACTTCTACCCCCATACCTTGTCATACACCATAATTATAAGTGATGTTTATCTAAAGCCTTAAGGTTTGCAAAGTGCTTTTACGTACATGATCTCATTAGGTATGAAGGGCCTTGGAGGCAGGATGATTTTCAGTTTAACCAACCTGCCCGAAAGGGCTCTTTGTTAGCTGTCCAAAAGATCTTCTGTGGAGATGGTCCCTGGTGGGGACCTAGTGGATACACAGGAGGTAACTACCCTCTGACTATGACTGTTTACATTACAAGACCTTCTACTTACTACATGTTAATGATTCTGAGCCTGGAAGACATCTTAGATCATCTGACTCAGTGCCATCACTTGACAGATGAAGATACTGGAGGCCGGAATGGGCAAGCGACTGACTGGAGAGCTCAGGTGCCCTGCCTCCCAGGGGCCCCAGGAGCCAGTTTGAGGGCTTCTTATTAAATTTTCAGTGTGAACATTTAAGCCTCAGAAAACTGCAAATGCTA